CCATGATAGTAAATAAGCATTACTTATTTATGAAAGAAAACTAGCAAATGGTAGTAATGAAAAAATTGTAGCAAAGATATGTGTTATACCTCAAGGCTGGGGATCCCCGACTCTGTGCCCAAAAGAACCATTTTATATAACCACTATGTATAACGTTGCGATTAAATTCAGAGTTGTTTTTATATGCATTTCATTACCACCCGAGCTTTTGTTTCGAAATGGGGAATGAAAAACATGTGTCACTAACAAAACGGCTGTAACAATTTTAATGAAAAAAAAGTCTTCTCTTTAAAGCCCTTTTAATTTATGTACATAACATATTTCTCCGAAAAGGGGCTGAAAAAAAGTAACGATGGATTCAGAATTTTATTTGAGAATAACTCAAAAAGTACACAATGTTTGGTTCATCAAACCTATGAATATTTGAAAGTTTCTTGAATTCTCTACAAAATGAAAAAAAAAATTATCAAAATCGAAAAGAATCACGTCCGATAAGATATTTTTATTGAATATTTTTTAAAACTTTTTTTCAGTAAATAGTTTCAGGAGAGCTCTAATATGACAAATTTATATTTGGCATATTGCTATAGTATGAGCACAATGTTGAAATGAAACAATTTAATAATGATCGATTCAAATTTATTTGTGAATAACTCAAAAAGTACTGCATTATTTTTTTATTATAAGTACCTATAAAAGTATATGTATGAATATATATGAGTAGAAAAAAAGTTTATTAAAGGTAAGGATTTTAATTTAAAAATAAAATAATAATAATAAAAGGCTTAGCGAACCCGAAGGTTCGATGGCGACACCACCAATCGCTTATTACACACCTCTCTCCACCATTCGCCGTCCAAACCCAGTCCCTTCAGACCGGCTTTAATGCAATCTTCCCACCTTCGCTTCGGTCTACCCCTCGGACGCTTACCATTCGGCACAGCAAATATTAACCTTTTAGGAATTCTCTCGTTACTAAGCCCAACAACTTTACAAGCCCATTTGATTCGCTGCGATGAAATTATCTCAATTATATTACCCGGATACAGTTCATGCAATTCGGCGTTGTGTAACCGTCTGAACTCTCAGGTTAACTCATCCTTCTTCGGTCCGAATATTCTACGCAATACTTTATTTTCAAAAACCTTAAGACGCTGCTCATCCCTTAGTGTAAGCGGCCAAGTTTCGCATCCATAAAGAACTGTAGGCAAGATAATTGTAGATTCTAATTTTTAAGTTCCGGGACAAGAGGCGCGAACTAAGTAATTTTGTCACAGAAAAATAACTGAAACAAAAAAAAAATAAAATAAAACAAAGAAATTTATACTTGTAAAAATAAATTTATCAGTACCTACGAATGAGTAGAGAAAACAAAAGAAGGGGGATTGGCGTGTTAATGTTTGGCTACTACGCATCTCTCTCCCCCTCTACTCACCGCAAACTTATCCTAGACAGTCTGCCTGTTGCTTGAATAATAACCAATACATATACTTGAGGCTAGATTGAAAAGGCTAATGAATTGTTTCATTAGATTCATTTGTGGAATCCCTAGGTGCTCCCACGTCTGCAGTAGTATTCCGAGTTGAAATGGCTATATCCAGTTTCTTGACGGCAATATTTGTTAGCTGTATTCCACTTTCGAATCTTTACAACAAAAAAACTTCTTACCTTCTTGATTTGTTTACTCCGTGTTCCTCTATTCATACCTTCAACATGAGATCCCAGCCAAGAAACCTGTATATTTCTTATCATAGGACAGTTTATTTTTAAAAATCCTTTATAATGCATGCTATATTGTTTTGGAATTCCTTATCCACCTCCATACGCAAAACCTCATCATTAACTTCATTTAAAAACTAATTGTATTTCCGTTTTCTCGGCAATCAATCTTTTAAATGTTATAAGAATTAAATATGTCAACAATCTTATTCTACTGTTATTTCACAGTTATTATTTATATTGCTTACTGTGCAAATATGTAATACGACGACATCTATTTACCTATAATTTCATCATGTTATATGTACATATAGTCTAGTACTTTATTTTAATTTTCATGCTACACAACTTTGTAACATAATTATTATTTTCCAGTCATTATGTGCCAGAAATCCTCAGGTTATAATGTCATCGCCATTGTTCATGTTTGTTATTATTAGGGGACTAAACGTACTAGAAAAAAAAAATTACTTTCTATCTTTCTTTCTATATGTGCCCTCGGGTAGAAGAAGGTTGGAGACTTCTGCGTAAAGGCCTTCAGGACAATCTAGGTTTTTTTTTTCACAAAATTTGTCTCTGTAAATATAAGAGTATTTCACATTATAGCTCACTGTGGCTTATTTATTATTGAAAGAAGAGGAAAAAAATAAAAAAATTAAGTTAACTAAGTTTTAAGGACTAGGATTATTTTTCAAGAAGACTAAGAAGCAGATCTTATAATCAAATCTATACAATCAAATAAATAATACGGTACCGTTTCGCAGCATAGATAGAGCTTCTGGCTCTCAGGAGCGATGGATTTTGATGAATGAGGTATCAAAGGAAAAGGAATTTCATTGAAAAGTGACAAATCATAGTCACATCCCACTGAAATTTAAGAGAATCAATTTATGAATGAAAAGAAACTTTATATACGAATAACTCTAAAAGTTTTTATAGATTGCTCCCATGATTATTTGAAAGATTATTAAATTCCCACAGACCATTGTAAGGAAAAGCACAGTCTATAGTAATGTAAGCATCTTTTGATTTATAATTATGAATAAACTAATATAATTTGACTGATAATTACATTGCATTAATTTATTTCTATATTATATTATTAATTATTCACTGACCAATATTCTATGCGAATTATTTGCACGGGCCAACTAGCTAATTTAATTATTTGTCATTATTTGGCTGAAACCTTCATTTCAGACCTTTCAAACTTCTATTTTCTTATTTTATTTATTTATTATTTTCTTTCTTTCTTTTTTTTTTTTTTTCTTTTTTTGGAAAAACTGAGAGTTGAAAGGAAACAGCAACAAAGTATGGTGAAATTTATTATTTTAGATTCGTTAGGAAACCTGCTGCACCAGCACCTATATTAATTCTAACCATTTCTTTAAGAATGTTAGGGACAGAAAGGCAAGAGAACAAAATGAGAAAAAATAAAAAACATTAAAATGTATAAAAAATAATATTCAGTATTTAGGATGATATTCCCGACAATTTTATTAATTTTTTTTCCTAAAAAATTATCAATTAGACTGCTGATCAGTATGCTGTGTCATTTAGAAACTCAACACAGATGAGCAGCCTTACAATTTCGTTGTACTTCTCTTCGCTGCATTAAATTACTTAGCCAGTTGACAAAATTTTCTTTAGACACTGACCGCCATTTGTGGTAATTTTTCATTATTCCCCATTTCTCAGGATAAATGACTTTATTTTATTATTAACAACCCTGTATTAGTAGTTAATGGTTCAAGAAGCAAAAGTAATACTTGTCTTTTTTTTTTTTTTTATATATTGTTGATTGTATCAACATGATATAAGGGTGATCAGTCAAATCTTCTATATCTTCAAAAAATGAAATTTGAAAAAAGGAAAAAAACAAATATATGAAAAAATAATTAAGTTTAAAAACAAAGTTCAATTAATAAAAATATATAACCTAGAGAATTTATTCGGATATCATGTTGAATCTAAATGAAAAAGAAATAAATACACAACACAAATGTAGTAGTGCCAGAGATGAATTTGCAATGTTTATATGTTTACATTTTTTTTGACAACTCAAGCAGTGCACTCTGTTATCAACTATGTTAACATGTCTCTGGCAGCTCGGTAAAAAAAAATCTAGTGTGTACAAAGGAATTTACAGAGAACATTGTCAGTTTATTTCAAAAAGTCATTAAGTAAAATTTCATATAATTAAATCATTAAATATTTTGATGAATTTTTTAATCAGTGAAATCAAATCATCATGTATTTACCAAGTTTGGGGGTTAATAATTCTTAATTTTTTCTTTTAAAAAAGTTTTGTTTGGGAGAAATGTATAAAAGGGTTTATTCAAAGTATGTGTCATTACTAATTATTTTTCTTAGCTCTTTGGAAATTTACAAATGCCATCGCAGAAAACCCATACATCTTTTGAGGTGGTCTGATTAACAAACCATTTTTGGACATATCCTTGATTGATTGTCCTGGGGCAACTGATGATTTTCTGAGTTTTAGGTTCTCGAAATATATCCATTTTTTGTATATAGTCATGATCCACTACAAAAAAGTCTTTTTTTTATGCCAAGAAAGCAAAACTTCATGCACAGGTTTTCACTTTTCCATTTGTCAGTCCTTCAACTGATGTGGTATCCATTTTCCTGCTGTTTATATCCCTCCCAGGGCATGTAGACGATCACAAATGGTTCAATGACTATCAACGTCTCAGCCATTTGATGCTGAGTTTGAATATTGTCTTCATCCAACAATGTTTGTGATTCTGCATCTTGAAATATTTCGATTGGCCTGGGCGTTCTTTGTCTTTTAAATCTATATCACAATTTTTGAATGTTTTGAGCACTCACAAGCATCTTGCTTAAGGACGTTGTCACTGTAAGTCTCCAAAAGTATTCAACAGCATTCACTCGTGTTTTTGTTTTGATCGAACAAGAAAAGTTGAAACTCCACATATTTACCACTAAAAAAAACATGAGGTCAACAAAAAAACATCAATGGCGTTTTGAAAGGTACACTATCATACCAACAAAATAACATAAGAGGTTAGACTATGAACAAATCCTTATTTCTAGCGCTATCTCTTAGAAACATTAAGAATTATTAACGACCAAACCTAATGGTGTAACTATATTTGAAAAATTTACTCTGTTTCTGTAAGTTTAAAAAATGGCTGAAATTCGCAAAACGTACTTTAAATTTAACTCCATCAAAAATGCACTTGGAGACTTTTTGCAATAAACCAACAATATGATTTACCGATTATAAAATGAATACGAACCAGGAACATATTCTTGAATCAAAATTTCTGGTTCTTGCTTGCATCCATCATATGATAGAGCTGCAACAAATAACAGAAATTCATTCAGTATAAATAAATAAACCATCACATTTATACAAAGATAAACGAAATAAATTTAAAAAAATAAAAATAAATAATAAAAGTATTTCCTACCTCCATGTAATTCAAGATCTTCTGAATCGTTATCACTGGTTTCTGAGTGATATTCAGTGGTCTTTGCATTAACTTTCATAAGATCTTCAGGCAAAACTAAAAACATTTTCAATTAATAAAAAGCAATATATTTGGTATATTATAAATTGATAAACAATTGATATTCTGAACAGAACAATACTGCAGCGATACAAAGTAAAAATAAGAAGTCAATTTTGTTTATTAATTTTAAGTTTAGGATAGAAAAATAAAAATTTTAATAAAGATATCATTTCAAAAAGCTAAGTGGGTGATATATAAAAAAAAAAAATTTAAATAGACTGTTTCTTACACAAACTGTTATAAAAAATAAAGGATATTACTTTTTATTGTTTTTTTTAGTAACAGTTTTCTCAATAAACAGAAAAAAAAATTCTATGAAAAATATAAAAAAGCTTGTACTGTAGGGTTCCAAATTAAGATAGCCCAATCTATAGAGGCTGGGTATGCCCCAAGAGGGTCCCCCGACTGAGCCCTCAGCAAGATTCAAACCCGGGATTTTGAGCTCTGGTAAGTGAGTTTTAACACGAGCAACCTGAGCAACCCCGCACCCTGAAAATTTTAAACAAATACTATATACAGTAAAATCTCTATATATTGAACTTTTTTAGGAACCTTTAATTTTTATTTGTTAAAAATTAATTTATTTGAATGTATTGAAAAATGTCACAGAGTTTTTCCAGTATTCCAGATCTGATAGACAGTGAAATCCGTTGGAAAAAGAAATCTCATTATCATAACATAGAAATATATAACGATCAGCAACAACAGATTAGCCTATTTTCCGTATTGTAAGGAAGAGGAGGGGGTGAAGCATTAACAGCTGAAGTATTTATTTCTTATTTCTTTCTGTTATTTCTTCTTCAAATGTGGCTAGAAGACAGTCGTAGAACAAGCCCACTATAACCTAAGAAATAGAAGAAAACCGTCAGAAGATAGATGCCACCAGATGATAGGAAAGAATAAAAGGTTGGAAAATTGGCACCAATGCTATCGGGTCACTGCCAAAATCTGTTTAGCCAGATATGTAGGGATGAAAATAAAATATACATAGTAAGTGTTTCAATAAAATTAATATAGTAATTTAAAATTTGACAAAAATTATAACTAAGCAGAAACGAGTTAGATATATACTCACCAGACTCGCACTCCTCAAGCAATACTTCCGGTTCCTGCTTACACTCATCGTAAGATTCTGCTAGAACCAGACATAAAATACAGAAATTTAGAAAACATTAAAACAATCTATGATGTATTGTATTTCACCACATTTTTTTAAGTGAAAACTTCTTTAAGCGCGCTTTGCACTTTTTTTGTTGGTAGTGGATGGGACTGAGTCGTCACGCTCAGAAATGTAACATGCTCTTTCGGGTAAAGTCAGCTCGAGATAACTAATTGAAGTGTTTTGCAATTGGATTAAAATAACTCAGAGACTAAAAATAGGATCTGCTTATTGTAAGCAAGAGAAATTACAATAATTTCATCCTATTTTTTAATGAGCTATAAATAAAAATAATATTTTGATATGACGCCGAGTCAGATTGAGAATGGGAAAAAGATAGCCCCAAAAAACAAATTAATGACTGTTTTGAACATTTAGAATAAAACCCCACCAAAATATTTCAAAATTAAAATAACATGGAGAATTCAGAAACCAATTTGTGAAAGTTAATATAGATTTTTTTTTAGTCATAAAAATAAGGAACTACACTGACAGGCAAAAAAATCCACCCAATTGATTTTTTCATGTTTTCATCTAAAAATATTTCTGCTTTGGATTGGTCTATTGTTTTAAATACATAAATAGGTAATCTGTTTGTTTGTTTTCAAATAGGAATGTTAATATAGAGGACAATAACCCTTAATCCTTAATTCAATGAAATGATTCTAGATTCCAATGTTTACTTTCTATGGAATCAAAATGTTTATTCAGTATCATTAGTTCAGTGCCGTTTCTTGCAGCACATTTCTGAGTCTCCGGCTTTTAATTTTTTCAATATTAAGTTTAAAAATGCCTCTTAGTGCTGAGGATGTTGCGCATGGTGCGGCACTTATTGATGATGGACGTTCCATTATATATGCAGCTAATGCCATCGGAGTTCCATATGAAACTTTACTAGACACCGACAGGCGTTTTCGGGAAACTAGTTCTTACAATAGAAGGCCCAGTTCTGGACGGCCTAGGGTAACAGAACCACAGGATAACCCGTTTTTGACTTTGAGAATTTTACGAAACCGGCACCTTAACGTTGTTCAAGCGATTCATCAGCTCGAAGAAGTTCGAGGTGTGCAAATTTCTGAACGTATCGCTCGGAGAAGATTAAATGAGTATGGATTAATGCCTTTTCGTCCAATAAGAGGACCAGAGTTGATCAGAACTCACAGAGTAACATGGCTGGCTTTTGCTTGAGAACACAGCCAATGGACTATGAACGAATGGAGTGCTGTACTTTTTACAGATGATTTAAGATTCGCTCTTCTATCTCCAGACGGGCGTGAAAGGGTGTGGAGAAGAAGAAATGAAAGATATGCAGCCTGTAATTTTTCCCAGAGCCAACCTTTCCAACGTGGTTCCTTAATGGTGTGGGCTGGAATTGCAATGGAGCGCCGCACAGAATTGGTTGTTGTTCGTGGAGGATCTTTGACGGCCATTCGCTATGTAGATGAGATTTAGGAACCTCATGTGTTGTCTATCCTCAACAAAATCGGCGATCGTTCTATTCTAATGTACGCCCACATGTCGCCCGCATAGTGCAGACGTTCCTTCAACAGAACAATATTGAGGTTTTAGCCTGGCCAGCACGTTCTCCAGATTTGAACCCCATTGAGCATTTATGGGATAACCTCGGAAGACGAATAAGAGCGCGTGCAACACTTCCTGATACACTGCAGGATCTTGAAAGGGCTCTTCGGGAGGAATGGGCTATCCTCCAGCAAAGGGGCATTTCCCGATGGAAAGTCTGGCCGATGGAAAGTGGAAAGTCTTCAAGAAGTAATGAAGGCAAGAGGAGGAAACATGCGCTACTAAACGATGATGTAATTAATTTCTTTTAGAATAATAATGGTTCGTTTTTCAATTTTTTTTTCTCTAATCTTTCTAACCCAATCACATTTTGATTATTACAGGTAAAAAAGATTATAAAATTCCATAAATACTAAGTATTATCTACAAATACCATGTATTATATACAAATACAACTTTTTTTATGAGTGAAATATTTTTAGATGAAAACATGAAAAAATCAAGTGGGTGGAATTTTTTGCCTGTCAGTTTATGTGTTTCTATTTGATTTTCTGTTGCACTCAATAGAATGCCGACAAATTACTGATCCCCCTTACAGAAGTTATATTTTTAAAAAATCACCGTTTTTGTTGGATATTTAGCAAATAGATTTCAATCAAAAGAATCCATTACATATTTTAGTTATCATAAACCTATTGTATCATTTTTTGAGTTTACTTCAGAGCAAAGTTTACTAGAGTAATTTATAAACAACTATAATTGTATATATTGTAAATGTTATTACTTTTACAATATAGAACAAAAAAATAATTATATATCATATTATTAATCTCGCTTTGTTGATGTTTTCATTTCTATTGTGAGGTCTAAAGCATACACCATGGTTTTTTTTATAATTGTGTGACTTAACAGATTTATTATTCAAACCCATATTCATTTCATTATTCCTTACATAAACACTTATTCCTTGTACCAAATAAAAAGAAATAAATATTTGATAACCCCAGATATAATGTTTCTAACATATATAATATTACAAATTCATTAAATGATTATTTAGCCATATTAAGGCAAAAAACACTAATTAGTAATATTATTCAATTTTAATAGTCCTCCATCCAACAAAGACTCGCTGAAATTATCGATGGGCATACCTCTTACTTCTGTTCACTTGTATCTCTTTACTATCACATTTAGATTAAAAAGAAAAAAATCAGATGATTCATTATATTCTTTTATAAATGTATTTTTGTATATTTTATTTAAAATTTAAAACTAACCTTCTTCCAAGGGTACTTCTTGAGGTTCTTCTTTAATTAAAACAGTAACTTTCATTAGATCTTCATGCCATTCTAAAAATCAAGTTAAATAATATTTATAATTTTTTTCTTATATATAAATAGTCCGTGGTACAGACCTCTTTTTATCAGATTATTAACATCCCCTGAAACCTAGTGAATAGCTTAATCTCATCATAACCTACAGTTTTATTTACGAAAAATCTTAATATTGGAGAGATTTCAATCTGAAGGTCGGCAAACTTTGTTTATTTAATTAGGTACTAAAAACTCATGAATACCCATTTGATATGACCTCCACCCTGAAAAAGTTAAAATAACGAGATTATATAGGCCAAATGCCCCAATATGTTTGTAGGTCACTTTTTTTTCCCCACTTCCTTATCATATTATCTTACAATTCAAATGGAAAACAAATGGGTATTCATAAGTTTTTAGTATCTAATTAAATAGATAAAGTTTGACTATCTTCTAATTGAAAAACGCCATAATTCCAATTTGTAGGTTACAATGAGATAAAGCTATTTAGAAAGTTTCAGGCGGATGTTAATAATTTGATAAAAAGGGACCAGTACCACAGACTAAAAGACTAATTCAAGAATAAACACAAAAATTCAAACAATTGATGTTAATATTTATGTAAATTTAACAGAACAGCCTAAAATCCCAAACTAAAATCAACCAATTCACAAAAGAGTTTACCAAGAGAGCTAATAGAGATAAGAAATAAATGCTAACCCAAGCTACAGATAGTTTGAGCAACATCTAGGATCAATTATCGATAGTTCAATTCTCTAAAATTTCAATAGTAGTTTTATGATGGCTACAATAAACCTTCATTAAACAAAAAAAAAAAAAAAAAAAAACTTAAAATAGGAGGGTAAAACAAAAGACATAAATAAAATTTCATAAATTGTCACTCAAAATGGCAGGTGGGATTGAGCACGCATGTGTAGCTCAGTGGTTTGGGCACTGACTTCCAGAGCTCAAGGTCCCGGGTTCGAATCTGACTGATGGCAGATAAATTATTTATTGTTTCAGTGGTATCGGAAGACCCTCCTGGGGCACACCTAGCTTCTATAAATAAAATGGATACTTTTAATTAATTGATTATCAAAAATATCAAAAACAAAAGCAGGATCTCAGTCAAATCACCTCCTTACACAGCCATTGACCAAGAAACAGTACTTCTAAAACACTGCTTGGTGTATGAAGGTCTGTCCGCAAGACTAGAGGAGAAACTAAAGAGACTCATGTATTGCTTCATAAGATTCATCTTTGGAATTTCCAGGCGTTTCGTGCTTATACACAGAGTTGAAATGGCTCTATCCTACTTTTTTATGGCAATTCCTTCTTAGTATTTTCCTTTTCCAAGTTCTCAGAACCAAAATTCCTCCCTACATCCTAGAACTTCTCACTCTATGTTCCTCTATCCACTCTCTTAATACCAGAGCTCAACCTGTAGAGCTATATATTCCCTTACATAAGGCCACTTCCTTCAGCAAATCCTTCGTCATTTGTGCTACCTCCTTTTGGAACTCCTTACCTATCACCATACGTCAAATCACGTTCACAAATTCCTTCAAACAATTCCTATTCCTTTATCTACAACACATTCAAACTTCCACAAGTTGGTATTACAATTGCTCACCAACAGTTAATTGATAAGAGCCATTTTATTTTTATTTTGCTCATAGTATTTTTTATATATATTTGTATTTTTCTTAGGATTCTTTATATATATTTGTATTATATCTACATACCAGAGTAATTTTTTGAATTCTGCTGTTATTTCAAGGAGCCTTTAGTCCCAGAATAAAATTATTTTTCATTTCCATTCATTACTTCTACATAGCATGAACCCAAGACCCTTCAGGTTGTAGTGGTAGATTTTTTTTTGATACAATCCTTTAGAAGAGTTAAACATACCTATGAAGGGTCTTTTCAACCAACAACAGGGCTTAATTAACTTTACTTATATTGCGATTATAGACAATCCCTCACTCAAAACAATAAACAAACCCTCAACAGGTTATACAAAAACCTTCTAGCAAAGTAACTAAATATCGATAGCTTCTTTCCGAGTGAGGTCGGGGGCTAATTCAAGATATTGATAAACACAGCATGAGATCATAGTGGATAATGATTCCCCACTCTTTTCTTACAGATAAGTATACTTTTCTTTATAAGTTATTCTCCTGAGTTTTTTGGTGTAATAATTATTTTATGCATAGAGAGGATAGATAATATAAGAAGATAATCTTCAATTAACCAATTTGATGTACAATTAACGAAGACACACATTAAACATACACTCAAAGTAAAATTTATTACTTAACGCACCAATAAATGGCTATATTTCTTTTTTGCACTATTAAGTGGAGCTGCTGCTATGCAACAGGATTTTGAAACTAAAGGCTAAGGTTAATTCATGTACCATTAGGAAGAGCATTTTTTTTTTATTATTATAGGAAACCAGGTGTAAATGAAAAATGTCCTAAAATGAAGCTTGTTGCTTATTTCTATAGACACTTAAATCATTGTTGCCCATATTCTAAATGCCCCAGGGATATACTCGCCAACTCCTTCTTTAAGTAGAAATTTTCTGAGTAACTAAAAAAAATGGTTTAAAAATTTCTTACAAGAAAATATAACAATACCTTTGGTGAGAAAACAAGAACATTATTTAATCTGCATTAACTAGAACATTATATAACATGAATTATATTTATTAAGGTAGTTTCAAAAGAAGACAGTGGTAGGTACCACAAATTTACTATAGCCATTATCAAATTTTGCATGATGCACACTACCCTTAAAGATATTTTAAAATATTTTGGATCATTGCTTTGATTTACTTCATTGCAGTCAGCCCTGATGATGGCCTGAACTTAAGGTCGAAACGTCGGCAAATGTCAAAATAAATATTATCATTTATTTTTGCCTTGTTATTTGACTGATCACCTTAACTATTCTTCTCTTCATATTTTAAAATAGTTATTATCAAAAAATTTGAAAAACTGGGTATAGTACATATCAGTATCCTATTACATTTTAAAAAATTAAACTCAATGCTAAAAGCAAGTGTTGAATAACAAATGTGGAAATAGCTGCTACTGTGTTCACACATCATTAACGCAAAATACCTATACTCCTCTAAACTGCTATTATTTTGATAACATTTTACTACATTTTGAGTTTTAAAACACAACACAACAAACCATTAATCATAAAAATTCAAACTTATATGTCATACACTGATTTAAATTATTAAAACTAAATAAGTAAATTATATATAAATTAATATACAACCTATATTAAAAATAAAAAGTATGTACATTGGTTTTTAACTGTATCAAATCATTACTCAAACGCGAAGAAAACAGAAAAAATATTAAAATGTTAGATTCCTTAATGTATGACAAATATTTTGGCAGCCAAAAAAGTTATTAAAATAAACATAGTTAAGAGGAATGTGTATTTTTTCATTGGAACACAAATTTACCTGAACAAGACATTTCCAAGTGATAAGAAAGATGAAATGTCAAATCCTAAACAGATTTCTTATGTTAAGGTTGCATTCGGCTTCTGAAGTCAATGAGATAAAACAAAGAGGTAGATGAGCGTGAACTTAGCTTTTCTGATTCATTGGAGTTTAAAATAAAAACTAAACATAATTATAAGCAATAACAATGTTTTAAAAATGCACAGAATTTTATTTTCTGCGGAGTGATTAAATCATATAACTATTATAAAAATGTATGCGTCATTTCCAAATTTCATTCCCATTTGGGTTTTTTTTTTTCAAGAAAAATTGAGAGAAATAGCGTATTTTTCGACTTCTTAGAAATTGTTGTAGTTTTTTTTTAGGCGTGACTAATGTAAGTGGGAAGCTGGGTAGCTCAGTGCGTAGGGCACTGACTTCCAAACCTCAAGGTCCTGTTTCGAATCTGGCTGATGGCAGATAATTATTTACTCTGTTTCATCTACCTTGGATCGACCCTGGGATCAGGAGACCCTCTTGGGGCACACACGGCCTCTATAAATTGGCTATTCATAATTAATCAATTAACTGAGGGGGAAACCTGGCTCTTGAACATGATCTCGGTTAAATCACCTTCTTGCACGACCGTTGACTAAGAAACAGTACTTCTTTGCATTATATTGAACCCAACGGGGGGCAGAGTCGCGGAGCGGGCTAAAGCGTGTATAAGCCACGGGATGACCGAATATACTCTATTTGGGAGTAAGATAGTAAGAAAAGATTCCAAGCCTTTAAATATAATAATTATTTTCCATACTACAGCGGAGAGAGATCTAGATCTGAAAAAAAAAATAACAGAATGAAACAGTGTTGCTCCTGGAGCCAAAGCAGAACAGATTTTCCCTTTTCGCTTCGTTTCGTGCTACTTTTAATTTTTTTTCTAGAACATGAGTATCAACACCAGTGATACTTTTTTAAAATGGGTCCGTTACGTGACACGCAAGAATCACTATCATATAAATTTTTAATATCCTTATAAAATAGTTTTTATGAGCTATATTTAGTTTGTTAAATTGTATTTAACAGTGTTTCAGTGATAGGTCTAGGGCATAACACAGGCGGATCTACGGGGAGAGGGGGCTTTCGGGCTGAAGTTCCTCCCAAAATGGTAAAATGTAACCATATTTTACTGAAAAAAATACTTTATACTATCTCTTAAAGTATTCTTGTTGGTGTAATTACATTTAATAGGACTTCAAGAACCACTTAAACACCATTTCATATAGATAATGAATTAATTTCTTTTTTTCAAATTAATTATCGTTATATATATGAAAAAAAAAACTGTCGGGCTGAAGCCCCCCCAAAACTAAATCCTGGATCAGCTAGTGGGGCATAATATATTAGGAACTTTCAAAAGGGCACATAGATACGTTCATTATTATAAATATAAAATAAATCACGTATTTTTTTTTATAAATTATTTTTTTTAAACTGAATCTAATTCTCCAATGATATTCTATCAAAAGTTATTTATCGTATGTAGTTGCAGTCGGATTTTTAATTTTAAATGGCCATTCAACTTGTCCTATATGTAATCATGACAATAAAATAACATAAACTAATTATTTTTTTTTTTTTTGCCATTCAAAATTTCGTCCTCTAGAAGTTTCTGAATTACATTTTATCTGAGAATTCTATCAAATTTATTACCAAGAATAGTCTTACGACGCGATTTCCTCGAATTCTCACTTGGCGGACAAATCAGGTTTTAAAGTTGTTGACCGTGAACTCCAAGTCAAAGAAGAAAATGGAATTACAATAAGAAAAAAATCTGGTGCGGTGCACGCATCACACAACTTACACTTTTTACTTTCGGGCTGAAGCTTCCCCCCCCCCCCAAATGATGAAATATAACCATGTTTTATGGGGGAAAAAAAATTAAATCATTATCTATTAAAGCATTGGGGGCGGGGTGTCCGAATGGGCTAAAGCGTGTGCACAGCATCGCGAGTTGCCTGGCAACCTTTTTTTTTTTTTTTTGTTCTTCCCTACCTCACCTTTGGATTTTCCATTTAAAATCCCCTCCGGCACCGGGATGCGAACTCGTACTTTTTAATCATCTCAAATCTTTGTTCTCCGGTTGCCAGGCAACTCGCGGTGCTGTGCACACGCTTTAGCCCATTCGGCCACCCCGCCCCTTCGGTTGCCTGGCAACCGGATTGCAAATTTGAGAAGATTTAAAAAGTACGAGTTCGCGTTCCGGTGCCGGTGGAGGGGATTTTAAATTCCACGCCCTCAGCCCCCGGGAAAATCCCGTATAGCCTAAAAGGCGAGGTAGGGAAGAATAAAAAAAAAATAAAATAAAATAAAAAAAAAATCTATTAAAACATTGTTTTACTTGTAATTACATTTAATAGGACTTCAAGAATCACTTAAACACCATTTCATGTAGGTAGTTAGTGTCCTTCTTTTTTTCTAAAATAATTATCGTTATATACATGAAAAAAAAGGCTTTCGGGCTATATCCTCTCTCTCCCTCCTCTCCCCTCCCCAAAAAAAAAAAAATTAAATCCTGGATCCGCTAGTGAGTGAAAGTAAAAAACATTGAATTACAGCTATATAATTCTATATAAGCTATATAATTCATTCATGGTCACTAGACAGCTCAGCGAGCGCTAAATATTATTTGCCAGTCAAACCAGCGTCAATCAATTGTTGCGCTGAAGAGAATTGATTTTACATAAAGAAACCATCATCAGGTATCCAAATATGGTCCTGAATTTAGAATGTTATCAATGTAAAAATTAATTACTAAAAATAAGAACTTGCCAAAATAAAACTTCGATTAACCGTTAATATCGAGGAGATCAAGAACATAAAGATCAAATGAATAGAAGATTTGTGCACAGTTTTTATTAAATTTATTAGTACAAATATTAGTACATAATATTAGTACAAAGTTAAGTATACATACATTTTAATATAATTTTTTTAAGACTTGATTTTGATTAGCAATACATTTTGAATTTTGATCCTTTTGTCTTAACTTTATTTATTCTCAGTGTCAGCATATTCGCCATTATTAAGAAGAACCTTATTATAAATAAATATCTATTGGCTAATTTGTCTAAGTCTTTTTTCCATCATTTACCACCAAATATCAGAGTATTATGGGTAAATGATGCAAACATGTTTTTCGATTTATGCTCTTCATAAATTCAGAAAATATTATTCGAAAATACTTTCAAAATAATATTTTCATTTTTATCACGACCTTTGACCTTGCAAAATGGAGATGATAACGTTATCAAAACCGGATCTATACGCGGAGGGGGTCAGGAAAGTAGTGACCCTTTGAACTAGTCATGGTTTGGAGGAGTATTGTGGTAAGATCGCTATTAGCTTTTTATTGTGAGTGATGTATCTTAATAATTCTTATTCTATCCATTAGGATTTTATATTTATTAGTTGTAATAGGTTTTTGTGAACTGTAGTATCAGCAATTGGCATACTAGTTTTACTATGAAGGTCATCAACTCTGTTCATGAGTTCATATTCAGGATTTTGTTTATCCTTACTTCTTGAACAGTATGATTCTGAAAAAAATCTCATATTCTTACATAGTTATAATTTTTGTTTATACCATTTAGGCTAACCTTCATTAGATAAATATTTGGCCAAATTACAAATATGGAGTATGGTATTTTTTCCTGGATACAAGTACATAAAAAGTTGATGACCTGAAATGAAACAATGAAATGGTGAGATTATAATTTTAATTTTGTAAATCCCATTGATGTAAAATATATATCCCTATTTCTCCTCACACCTCGCCAGTAGATTTAATTTAATTGAATAAATACTAGTAAGTTATGTTGTTTATTTTGGTGATGCTTTGCCCCCTTCTTCAAAATTTGTCTATGACAACAAATCCCCAAAATAATAAAATATACAAATAAGAAAAAAATTATAATATATGAATGTTTATATTACTATATCAAGAATATGAACTAATGAAAAATATTAATTTAATCAGGATATTAGTAAAGCTGTTTTTCCCTGTAAGTTATAATAATGAGCACATTTTTTTTTTCAGATGGACACATATTTGCTTTCTGCTCTCTTACCGACATTCAAGGTAATTATTTTATTGTTATTTATGCATGTATACTTTTAAAATTCTAAGAATTTGGTTTTAGTAACGATTGAATGATATTGACTATCATATTGGGTTTAATTTTATTTAGTTTGCATACAAATTTAAGAACGATGACATTATATCCTGACATTGATTTTAGGATGTGGATTAAGGTACCGAACGGATAGTCATAGACCGACGATAAGCCATGGACACGTATCAAGACCATCAGATTTTCCTTGGCATGTTGCTATATATAAACAAACTAACTCCACAGAACCACCTGAATATATTTGCGGTGGTAGCATAATTTACCACAAGCTCATATTGTCAGGTAATAACTATTTTTATGTTTAAAAGTTCCTGACTGGTTGTGTACACCTCTTGGAATTTGATATATCATTTCAAGAGAAAAATGAACAAGAATCAATTTATATACTTTCATCATAGGTCTGGGACCAATTTCTAAATAAATACACGGAATGGAAAAATTATATCTTTAATAAAAAAAATATAAATATATTTATTGCTTGTTAAGTAAATCTGATTTATTTATCTCTCAATTATTTTAATACAGACACAATAGTTTATTATTGTAATAACAATTTGCATTTTTAGCTGCCCATTGTGTTTATGATGAAGATACTAAAGGTATAAGTAATGCAACATTTACCGTCATTACTGGTAAATTCAATAGATCTTGGGAGTACCACGATTCAATTGAACAAAGGTTTAAGGTAGTTAAATGGATTTTTTTTAAAATAAATATAAACAAAAAAATAATTACTGGCCAAAAATTAGAGGACTTGGTATTTAAGTGAAATAGTTTTACACTCTACCTGGCTTCACTCATTACGATTAAAAGACATTAGTAATTTAATCAGGGTGTTGGAGCATATTTTTGACTAAGTAATCAATTATTTTAACTACTACTAGCCCCATCATATGTAGCTTCATAGTT